TAATTAGTTTAGCTTGAAGCATTTGCCGAAAAAACCGATTCCGGTAGTGACAAAAATTGCGGGGAATTCTGCAAAAAACGCATCTTCGCACGGGCAGCCCGTGCGTTGGCCAATTTTTTAACAATTAACGTAAATGCGATTTTGCGGTTCCAAGGAAGAAACAGGCAAAAACTGGATTTATAACACATTTATAACATCCAGAAACTGAAAAAAGAACTGAGTTCGCCATGAATGGATACTAAGAAATACCAGACAAGCAAAACGGAAACTTGACTAGGACTAGAACTCATGCAGTGTCAACCGAAAACTAACGATTTCTACTGCCAGAAGGAAGGGCTCTCACGAGCGGTTGCACAAAATTATTTAGATGCTAAGGGCTCGGAACTAAGGAACGCGGAAATACTGCTAGCTAGGCAAGTGACGCGCAGGAGTAGATTCGATTCCTGTCAAAAATAAACAAGGATGCACAGCAGTATCAAAAAAGCACAAAAACAGGGACGAAATTTCAAAACGAACGATGAAAGAGCCCAAATCGGCATCTGGCAAGACGTACCCTGTAGATGATTACGTTATTGACTTGTCCATACTTCTTCATCTCATCTTTCACCTCCGGTTCTAACTGATCGTCAATTTCCTCAGGCCCAACCATATTCTGCAAAGACGCCTGATGAAAACGGCAAGAACATTTCACAGAAATGCACCGTTCTGGCTGCCAATTACACCAGCGATAATAACAAAAGCGAGAATTCAACATTTACGAGAAAAATTCATTTAATATCTGATGCCCCCTCCTTGTTCTCGCTGCCAGCTCAAAATGACTGCCAAAAGCATTGGAGATTTATAGTAAGACTGAAATTCGATGAATCAAAGGAGCAGATACAACACTAACAGACAATTCAAAAAGACCGAACTGAAAAACAGGAGGCAATATTTCAAATGGTAGTGGCAAAAGACAACATACCCGCAACATCAGTATACGAGAAGAATGCTTCAAGGCTTCCGTAACGTCCTCTGCAGGCGCTGGTGGCGGATTTGCAGCCGGTACTTCTAGAAATGATGGCGCTGGACCGGTTGATGCAGCTGCTGCCGCTGCTGCTGCTTCGGCTGTAACACATTTTCTGATGTAATTTTTATGCGTTTTTTGCAGCAATGCAATGCGAAAAACGCATATTGACGAGAGGTTGTCTGTCTGTGTGTGTGTGTGTGTCTGTGTGTGCGCTGCGCGTCTGTGCCGATTTTTCATCTCGAGGCCGGCAAAAGCTACGGGGCTGAAACTTTGGGGGCTTAATCTACATGCACGTACGGGCCCCTATCCCGCGCGGTACCCACGTGAACCCGCCAAAGTTTTTTTTTGGACAAGCTGCTAACTCGCGAACCAGAAAAGCTAGAGAGCTGAAATTTTATGGGAATGTTCTCCGTCCAA